TGCCCTTTGAAGTAAATGGTGTGGTTTTATGAAAGTTTCAGTTTTCAAAGTGAGCAAGCCTGACTCTGCTCCTGTTTGTTTCTGGTTTCCTGTGTGATCATGCTTTCTCCCTTTCAAATGTATTCCTATTATTATGCAATTTGCTATAAAGCCCTAACCAGATCAAGCATGTGTCATGTATGGGTACTGACGTGATAAGCTAAAGATTACACAGTATAGGGGATAGGAGAGCAGGAGAGGAAGGCACATGAGGAGGGAATAACAAATACTAATGACCTTTTGAAACAATCCTATGGAAAGCTAATGCTCTAGTAGCTTCCTGAGATATGTGTATACATAAACATTTAAATGGTGTTACTCTACAAAGGGGCAACAATTCCTCGCTCAGAAACTATAGGCTGTTTAACAAAAAGCTCAATATCAGATATGTTAGTTTTGGTCATCCAGTGCCCATAAACGAGTGGTTCTTAACTTGTCGGTCATAATGTTTTTGGGGAGTTGGTCAAACAATCCTTTATCACAGGTGTTGCATATTAGATATCCTGCTCACCAGATATTTATATTATGATTCATTACTTATGAAGTAGCAATGCAAACAATTTTATGGTTGTGGGTCACCACAACATTAGAAAATGTATTAAAGTCATAGGAAGGCTAAGAACCATGGCCATAGATCCTCCAAACAACGCAGGCTATTGTTATTGTCCTTGATTATCTTTCTAAAGCTTAACAGCAAAACCTTGTTGCTGAAGCTACCTCATATTTAAGTCATACTACATGGAAAAAAATCAAACAGATAGCAACCTCAAAATTTTATACCTACTGGTTAGCTTTCATAATGTTGCAAATGACTATATACGCTACAGGAAGAAAAAGCAGTAAACAGTCTTACCCACCTGTGTCTGAGTTACACTATCAATTGGTCCAGTAAGTTATGCCCACGGATGCAATAGTGACATGAATATTGCAAGAGTTACTAAATCACTTCCTGATTGAATTTAAAGTCCACCCCACAAGATGAGACGCATTCCTTGTCTGCATCAAGAACTCATGGTTGTGTAGGTCATAGGCCATAGGGGACAACTGATTTAGTTAGGGGTTCTATGTTGCAATGGAACCATGAACAAAAGGCAACTTGGGGAAGAATGGGTTGATTGTGCTTGCACTTCCAGGATGTGGTCCCATCACTGAAAAAATGCCAGTGCAGAAACCTGAAGGCAGGAGCTGATGTAGACGTAGTATAAGAGTGCTGCTTACTGGTTTGCTCCACATGACTTGCTCAGGCAAGTTTCTTATAGAACCCAGAACCACTATCCCAGGGCTGGCACCACCCACAGTAATCTGGGCCCTTTCACATTAATTACTTATTAAGAAAATGTTCTGCAGGCTTACCCACAGCCAAATCTTATTTTCTCAATTGAAGTTTCTTCCTCTCTAATGACTATAGTTTGTGTCCAGTTGACATAAATCTAGCCAGTAAAACAACCTACTTCTGTTGCTAAACAGACATAGTATTAAACTGACTCCTAATGACTTATTGTTATCTGCATATATTAGTGCATCTCTTGACTGTTAACAGAGAATTTTTTTGTTTGTTTTGTTTTAGGCAGTAGGTGGTGCTACACATACTGACCCATAATTAGTCAATGTGCAGAGAGAAGAAACAGTGCTCAGCCTTAAAATGTAAATCTATACCACTAGCCCTCTTCCCAAGGCTCCTCAATCGCTACAAGAGGGGTAGAAAACTTTGTAAGAATAAGAGGTAGTGAAGGATGATATGAAACACTGTTTTTCAGACATGGTAATTATTACCCAGATAAACTCACAGTGGCATCTCTATGCACAAATCCAGAGAACCAAAACTCTAGCATGGATGGGTTAGGCATGCTCAAAGTTTCAGCACTAGATGGGAAGCTACCGGAAATCAGTGGTTGCTAGGGGAGGGAGAATCATTTTTCTTCAGACTGCCCATGCTCTAATGGGTAGTCCTACATCCATGCACACACTAACAGCACTAATAGACCTCAGTGAGTTTAAAAAATATATAAAACAAAACAAAATAAGCCATGAGGAAAAATGCTGGTGGAGACATGGTTGGATTATGCATTATGAAATTCTCAAACAACAAGAAACTCACAAGGCAGATGGCCCTTTCAGAATGAAACTGAAGGTTGACCTCTGGCTTTGACATGCCTACACATACATATGCACATATATCCTCACATGCACATATGCATAGCCCCATACACATTCTCTAAATGTGTATAACAGTCACAAATCGAAAAAATATTATTTATTTTTTAGGTTTATTGTGACTGACTATATTAATCTATATGTTGTTATCTGAAATTATTCTCTTCACATTCAGAGTTTGGCTCAAGTGCAAGCTCAAAATTACTTTCACATAACTTTAAGTTTCCTGATTTTTCAAGTAATTTTTTAACAGTCTTGGCCCCTGTTAAAGAACCTGGTCTACACATCCAGCATCTTAACTTTAAAGCATTTGTTGGATTTATGCTTGACTTTCTTGTAATCATCACAAACATGCAGACACACAGAATGCCTTTGAGGTTTTTCCATTGTGTATCCCAGTGCTGAAAGCTTTAAAATTGAATAGAGCTGTCATGCATTTCATTTCTCTTCCCCATGCCATTTCAACATTGCCAAGGACCTGAAGTCATGAGCAAGCCAACTTCTTGTAATCAAAGAAACAAAGGTAATAATAGTTCAATGATGTTACCTTTTAAAAATGAATACAATTTTATGTCATTATGATAATAAAGAACTTTTAAAGAAAAGGGAAAAGTATGATCATATTCTAGAAAGCTTTAGCACACTGAAAACATTTTAGTCTTTATAGCTTCATACTCTGTAAGCAATATATACTTTTCCCCATACATACATCATACATTATGTAGACTTTATAGAGTGATATGCTCAAGATAAAGTTACATTTAGTGTCAACTGCAGCTCTGGGGTCATTTTTTTTTTTACTTTAAAACCATACTCTTGACTAACTAGATTACTAAAATTATACTACGAATCCACTATCCATAAAAATAGATAGAAATCGGTAAATTAGCAATGCCTTTTGAGTGAAATAGCTAACTACTGTCTGTAGATTCTTCATCTCTAGAACATTGAGGTTCTGTGAATGAGCAAGCAAAAAACCAAATTTGTTTTGAAGCCAAATTTGTTTTGTGAGTAGCAAGAAAGTGCATGAGTGTGATGCTGTAAATTGAATAGAGCCATGAGGCAGAGCACAGTGCTTTAGGGTAATGGGAAACAATTAACTGTGTTTCTTGTCTTTATAAGCCATTTGTTTAGTTCACTATTGTCCTGCTCATATTAAATAGTTACTACTTAGCAATTGAATTTCTTTTTTTAAAGACATATTTTATTTTCAATCGTGTGTGTGTGTGTGTGTGTGTGTGTGTGTGTGTGTTGTGTTGTGTTGTTTTGCATGTGACCACATGTGTTAGGGTGTGCTCAGAGTCTAGAGGTATAAGAAGTCCCTGCAGCTGCAGTTACAAGAGGTTGTGAGCTTCCTGGTATAGGTGCTGGAACTGAACCCCAGTCCTCTGGAAGAGTAATGGCCTCATCCAATGAGCCATCACCTCTCAAGCCCAGAAACTGATTTGTAAAGGCTTAGATTCTGGCTTACACAATAGATTTAGAAAGATACTTGGCTACTCGATTCACAGGCTGCGCCGTACCAATCCAGTCATGAGAAAACAAAAAGGCTCCAACATGTGGGAATAAAACTTCTGAGGTGAACTGATATTTTCCCTTGAGATATAAGAAATTTTTCTCCTTTAGAAATCAGGTTTGGAGCACGCCCTGAAGTTAAGTTCTAGAGAAACAAAGAAACCAGCCTTGTTTTTGTTTGGGTGATTGTGTAGGAGTTCAGTGAAGTCAGTTAACAACCTTAGGGGCGTCTTCAATTGTGTTCATGGATAATTTGTCCCATGTAACCCTGGCTGAGTTCTAGATATCTGCAGCAACACTACAGTGTGGAAAGGTGGTCCAAGACTATCCAAAAGGCTAAGTGAAACCTGAGACAAAGCAGTGCCTTCGGCAATTCATTTGTCTCTAAGTCAAGACATTTGATAGACGATTAGGGTGTCTGGAGAGGAGGCAGAAGAGCTCGATGGAAACTCATGAATGACAGAGCTGGAAATTCTGAACTTTTTCAGTCTTGAGGTCAATGGGGCTTTCAATCTAAAACTTGAGGTGGCTACTTCAGGCATAAGATGGAAATAGATGTCAACAGAGACTGAATCATTTCCTCATGAAGGCTAGCTTCTCTTGGTAGCCACTATATGATCTGCACAAGTAGAGGGATATGCTGTCTGGTGAAAGATATGACCCTTCAATAAGTATCATTTTTTAATATACTTAATCTCTGATATGCCTCACAAAATAATGGAAAATTTTAGTGATCAAGAGAAAAAAAGTATGGAAAACAGTAAACTTAACAATAGATGAGATGATCAAGATTCCAGTATATCAGGCAAGGCACTCAAAATACCGATGGTCATACGGCTTGGGCAAATCACAGAGGATGGAAAGAGTAGGTAAAGGTGGGGAGAATTATGCTTGATTTAAAACATAAATGTACAGTCTAGAACTAACAAGATATAATCTCCTATATTAAAAATTGGATGGATTTGACAATGGGAAAGTGAGTTAAAGGAAAAGGTGGGGAGAATATAGAAGTCAAGGATATAGAAATAGTTACAGGACAACATGAGTGGAGAGGAGAGGTGCAGAATAACACAGAGCTCTAACACACATGTAATGATGTCCCCACCAGGAAAAGAAAGAAGAAGGTGAGATCATAGTATTTGCTAACATTGGTGAAAGATGCCAATTCACAGATTCAACAATCTGGGAAGTTTGATGATAAACACAGACAGTGATACCAAAGTATTTCATGAAATCCTTTCAAAACCAAGGGCAATTGTTAGGCTTTGGCATGAGCATGGATGTGAGTCCTGTTGGGTTGACTTGTGTGTCCCGTGGTGTCTGTTGCCCCAAGGGACTGGGCTGCAGCTCAGGGAGGCAGGGACACAGGAATTTGACCGGGTTCACTCCAGGCCAGCACCGGGCGGACGCCTGACTGAGAAGCTGCAGGACTCCACTCTGGGGATGGAGAGAACACAATCTGGGGTCCTGTGGGAGCTGGAGCTCTTGGGTTTGGGGTCCCTGGGCCAAGGTGGCCAGGAACCAACTAGTTCTCAGGGAAGGGGCTCTTGGTCTTGGCAACTCTCTTGGCTGGGTCATGACTAGCTCGGCTTGCTAGCTTGAGTTTGTGGCCTCTATTGCTGGAAGGGTAGAGAGGTCTTGGCAATAGACTTGACTGAAGCTCTGTAGTTGAAGACCTTCTCTACGGTTCTCCATGGCCGGCCCTAAAGAAGAGAGATAGTCCATGATCTTAAAATGTTTATTGTCATGTCAGAAAATGGATGAAGCTATACCTCGTATTCTCAGAGCAGGCCTGAGGTTAAATACCTTTAGCAAGAAGGGTCTGGGAAGGAATTCTTAATTTGCTATGCCCTCTGGCCTTTAGGTATCTTATGAATATGGAGATGTCTTGAGGCTCTGTGGCATGTGTCATACCCTTTACCTATGCTATGTGACCGATGGCCATAAACCTCTCTGTGGAAGGAGCTGTAGCTATGTGAAAGGAGCCAGGGGCCCAGGAGCAAGGCTGAACTTCTACCATCTCTGGAGGGTAAGGGTCTCTAGGGTGCAAGGCCTACTGGACCAGGTACTCAACTGCCTCTCACAGCCCCACAGGCAAGGATTAATATTAAAATCCACATCTTAAAAAGAAAAAAGAAGACTAAAACAAAATTTTTAAGAGAAATGAAGAAGGCTAAAAGACAAATTATTGTATCTCTCATAATGCGAAGATACTTTTAATCAAAGAACAATATAAGAGAATTTGGCATTAGGATATGTACCTTTGTAAAATTAAATGAACTTCCTCCAATTCTATGCTCTGTGTTCTGTTTTAACTCAAGGTCATGAGAGCAGGAGAGCTGGCCCTGCCTCCTGCTGATGGTGGCACTGGGTAGCCTAGCCAGAACAATGCCTTTACAAAGAGGAAATCAAAAGACATGTGGAGTGAATGGTTGAGAATTCTTAAACAATTTCCAGTTCTGTATAGGACTGCCACTCCAATCCACCCACACATCCAAATCATGTCCACATGTGTATCTTTGTATCTCAGAAGGTCATGAGGACTGTTTGCATACAGTGATGGATAGAGCTTAGCTAAAATCTTCTAAATTTAATATCTGTACTGTAATTTTCATCTGGAATCAACTCCAGAGTTTCAGGATTGAATTTCAAAGATGAGATTTGAACAAAGACTGGACATGGAGATAGTGCTTCATCCCTCCCTTAAGTCAGAATCAACTGAACTCAACCACAGGCATCATGTTCAATACAAGATCTCTCACACTGACCCCAAACTTAACCAGTTAGACTGAATTCACATTCAAACTGTTCCATCTGCTCTTCTCCACCATTGTTGGAAATACACAGCAAAGCTTATGTATAGTAAATTAAGAAATACATTTTAGTCAATAGAAGTGAACAAAATTTTTTAACATCTTCTAAGTGAAATACATTCAAATAAGATGAGCCTGACCAAATAATGCCATCTTTGGGCTTAATAAGAATATAAAACTGAATATGATTCAGTAAGTTATGCTAAATTTCTACTTTACTAATAAACAGCAATACCTCACTGTCAATGGCTGACCTATATTGTCCAATTTCGACACACTTTATCACATGTGATTCTTTACAATTGAGAGAAAAGAAACAGTATCAAAGAGGAGAGTGTTCTTAAGAAGGAATGAGTCATTAATAGTATACTATAACTCCATGTTCAGAGTCAATGTATTACTTAAATGGTAATATCTTAATATGTACATTTTAGCTATGATGTTTTGTGTAGGTTTTTTGGATATGGTAATAAGCTTATAAATTAAAGTTAAGGGAAAATATATTAATCTATAATTATACCCAATAATATAAAACCAAAATGATGTGCATATCAAGATCACAATACAAATTGAAAAACCCTGGGTGATAGAATATACTTGAGGAGACCATAGAATGAAGACATTATGGCACACAAAGCCACAGAAATTATTCATAGTACCTCTGCAGCACATTTCCCTCCTCAGTCACTAGAAATATACTATTTCCATACACTGAGGGAGAGAGGATCAAACCACATTCATCACACCTTGCCAAGAAACTGCTCTGTAGAGTCTGTTTGCAGCCACATGTCAGCTGCCTGTGTGGGCGGCAAACGTCAGGTTTGCTAGTTTTCAAAGAGGAGGTTGGACCTTCATAAGCTTCAGCAGGACTTCCTAGCTCTGTGGAGAGTCTGCTGTTCCTCAGGAGGCCACTTCCTTTCTTTTCCCTGATCTACTCAGGGGTAAAACACTAGAACAAGGAGAGGTTGGGGCTTGTGTATGTGGAATAGGGAAAGTTCTTGAAAATATGCTCTCAGGAGAAAAGAAACAGCTTGTCAATTCCAATAACTGCAACCCGCCACATATCTGTTAATTGAAGTTTGAAATAGACAAGAAGAGCTGAAAGAGGACGTGAGAGGAAATGATGAAAAGGATGAGGAAGGAGGAAGGTCAGGAGAGGGTAAAGAGGGAACTTCAAAGTTTGGCTACTTAGACATTCACAAAACAAGACACCATAAAAAGACCATAAGTCTTATACCCAAGTGTTCTGTATTGCTCAGTATCTGGTCGGCTTTGCTGCTGCATGTCCCACACAATAGCACAACTCCTCTAAGTGTAGGATCTTATCAGAGAAGCTGTCCTCCCTGCAGTAACTGAGGACAGACTTGCAGGGCCCTATTCTTGGGCTACACAGTCTGAAATATCTTCAGTAACTGTAGACTGAAGTGCGAGAGAACAGGAGCTGGGACACCAGTGTGTGTTTGCGGGAGAGAGGGCTGTGTGTTATTTTGCTCACATGTCATTGGCTCCCTCCTGTCACTCTTAGGCAATGTCCAGGTTCAAGGAAAATAGGACGAGTCCTCACCATCTGAAGCCCTAACATCAAGTTCTGCGTCTGTGAATCCTCCGTTTTCCAAGAAGCACATTACAACACTCATTAGTCTTGGTTTCCTCCTCTGGATGCCAGTCTCTGTTCCAAATGAAAGAAGGAACAAAGCGGTGTAGAGGATTTCTTTATTCTGAAGAATCTGAAAATGGAATTACCTCTCTAACTGCTTGTAAGACAAGAGTAACCAATAATACACCATACTGGACATAATATAAAAGATATTAAATAGGCTCTTAATGATTGATAATTATACTCAAAAAGCAGTGCATCTCTCAACCTCACTATAGAAGCTTCTTTTGCAGTAGATGGCAATTAGTGAGAGACATATAGCTGGACAAAGTCCAGTGAGTTAGAGACTACGGAAAGTTTGTTATGGTTTCTATATGCTTGGCTCAGGAAGTAGTACTTTTAAAAGGTGTGGCCCTGTTGGAGTAGGTGTGTCACTGTGGGTGTGGGTTTTAAGACCCTTATCCTAACTGCCTGGAAGCCAGTATTCTGCTAGGAGCCTTCAGATGAAGGTGTAGAACTCTCAGTTCCTCCTGCACCATGCCTGCTTGAGTGCCACCATGTTTTTACCTTGATGACAATGGACTTAACCTCAGAATCTGTAAGCCAGCCTCAGTTAAGTGTTATCCTTTATAAGACTTATATTGGTCATGGTGTCTGTTCACAGCAGGAAAACTCTAACTAGGGCAATACTTAAATGAGGCATCTGTATCATGCCCTCTTCTATCAAGGCTCAGGGATCACTATGGAAAAGTGGGCAGAAAGATTGTAAGAGCCAAGGGGTGGATGACAGCAAAGAAAAACCACACAGGGCACAAATGAACTCACAGCAGTTGTAACAACATTCACAAGCCTTCTGCAAGCTCAAGTCAGATGAAAATCCCAGCATAGAACAAGAGGGCATGAAGTTCCACCCCTGATTGGGGAGTTATGGCAACCGGATAGCTGCTGGGGGGGGGGGTCATTTTTCTTTATGGGTGTGACTCCTTGAAAGTCAGCCAAGCTCCAGCAAATGGTCCCGCACCCACGAGTACAGCAAAATTTGAACATGATGTTTGTTTTTAAAGAAAAGAGGATATGAAGTTCAGTGGATAGGGAGGGGAGTTAGATCTGAGGGAATTTGATTAATATGACCAAATTCATGAAGTTCTCAAACAATTAATAAAAACATTGTTTGAAAAGTTAGTAACAACAGAACTTTCCACTGATCATCTCCTCCAGCAGAAACATCAATTTGAACTGTCCATGGGTGAGCTAAGGAAACTTAGAGATACTGGCACTTGAGTATAGTGCAGAAAATTAATAAATGAAAAAATTAAAGAGAGTTGTAAGAGTTTTGGCTGGATAGATTTCTTGCCACTTCTCTTGAAACCCCAGGCAGCACAGCCACTGAGTGGAGGGCAGGGGTTATCTTCTAGGGGAACAAGAAGAGGGAATTGGGTTTTAACAGTGGCTTAGCCCCTAGGTGATGGTTAGAATTAATCATCAACTTAACAAGATTTAGTATCACCATGGAAACCGTTTTTAGACATGTTAGTGAAGATTACCTCAATTAAGTTAATTTGGGTGCAAAGGCACCCTAAATGCCCTGAGGTCCCATTTTGTGGGCTGAGTTCCCAGACTGAATAAAAAGAAGAAAGGTAAACACAAGCACCCAGCACTGTGTACTTCTTGACATTAGATGCAATGTTTCATCCTGTTTTAGCCTTCATGCCTTTCCTGCTGTGATATATTGTGTGTTCTGGAGCTGTAATCCAAAATCAACCCATTCATCCTTCCTTCAGTTGCTTCTGTCAGATATTTTACCACAACAACAACAAAACTGACACACCTAGACACTGGGCTACCTCAGGACAACAGTTTCACAGAACACCCTTAGCCACAGTCTCTAGATTGCTCTCCAGTGTCCACGTTTTCATGCCCGTTCCAATCTCACTAAGAAGACCATGGTCCCATGGTCTCTAGGCTTGTCCTGTAGTCTCATTACTCATGCCAACCCCAGTGTCCCCACAGACATTACAGCATGGCCATCTGGATAGCCTCATGGTTAAGACATTCCAGATGCCAGATGCCCCTACCCAATTGACAATGCAGTTCTGGACATGTCCTAATTACCAGCCTGGTACATGCAACCCCAGAACTTCTCACACAGATCAAGGCTAGGCCTTTTCCAGCACCAAGCCCCTCTCATGGCTCTAGACTCTAGTCTTGACCCACAGACCAAGACTCAGGATGCTCCAAAACATCAGGCCTCAGCTTCAGACAGTTGATCCTACAACTGGACAGCCTTGAATGT